TAGCATCAATGATACCTAAGGGCAACAGAATACACAGAGAGAAACTCTGCAGGACCTTGCAATGCAAAAGCCCACAGAAGACAGTTTTTGTATTGAGAGTACCTCACATTTTCATCCTGGCATTAAGGATATTTTTGAGTAATTAAATGTTCTATCAGTTATACAATTTTAAGTGCTTAGAAAACTTCTATTTGCCTAATTTTAAGCATCACAAGAAGTAGACTACAACACCAAACTTTCAAACATGGTGTTCATGTTTGCCATCTGTTATTGGTAACTGATTGGTTCTCCATCTATTTCCTGCTCTGAAATCTTAACACATTTTGCAAGTTACTTTGAAATCAAATCACCTGGCAGAAGCTGAGATACAATACAGAACTCTATACAGCACAGGCTAATGAGTTACAAAAAGCACAGATAACAATGCCTTGACAAGTATTTAGCCCCTAAATTACTTGACAAAACTAATCATAATGCTTGGTGTTTTTCACCCCTTCCAACTCATGTGTCAAGGCTTGTTCCTTCAAGTAGGAAAAGTATCTTATGAAATAAACTGCCTTAAGAACTATGAAACAGTAACTCTTAGCAATGTAGTTAATTTTTCTTGTTTCCTTTCATGCTAGGTATATTCATTTTAATTTACCCAGCCTGAATCACCTCTGAAGGAGTTTTTAATATTGACTTTTTGTCTACATTAAACACGCTTCTTGACACAGTGTGCTTGGTCAAATCATGCTTCTGAGCAGTGCTAATGAAGTTTCTATTTGTATAATTTTTCACTTGTAGCTTCCCTGAAACCCTGGCTCTCAGCACAACTGCAATACCATGCAACTAAAAAAATCAGAAGACCTGTCTTTCTCAAAACAATTAAAACCTCTCTTGCTAAGGTACAATTGCACCAAACATTCAGGACTTCAAGCAAGCCATCAGGAAACACTTTTTAATAGTCCAGCAAGTATCCACTGTTCAATCAAAGCACTGGGCAGAGTTTCATCAATCTCCAGGCCCTGAAGGCTCAAGCATTAAAGAAAGACACTGGATTTCAAGATAGCAAAGAATGGTCACCCGAGATGGTAAAGATTTCACCATGCACAGCCCTCAGCCATTGAGATGTAGCCCACCTAGTACCTTTCAGCCCCAGATTACAGCATAATAACCTTTCTTGTGGCCATCCCCATTTCTGCATCAGCTGCCAAAATTAAAGATGAAGAAGTTCTGCCATGTAGCAAAGGACCCTCTCGGATGAACCGAAGATGCCTATGGCAAAAGGTGGCATTGATGAACTGATCACACTTAGTTCTGCAGATTGTGGCACATTCTGGTTCTCTGCTGCTCAGGCACTGCCAGCAAAACCAGACATATTTCCATCACTTCCAGAGCAATTCAGAACTACCACACAGCCCAGTGGAATCTGATCTAAAGACCCAACTTATCACACCATGTCCTTCAAAGCTGAGCTAAGAAAGAAGCAATTGTCACTGTCTGTGACCTGGACACAAAGCACTTCATTCTGAGAAAAATCTTCCCTTTGTCGCTCAAAAAACTCAGCAAGTGAATCAGATGTAAGCAGCACTTTAGACAACAAGGTCTACCCACACTTCACCTTTACGCTTGTGAGTGACTCTGGGAACAAAACCAATTTCACCTAGTGCAGTTCAATACCTGTGGCCCAACAAAAGTGATTCTGCTAGAACTTTAGGCAAACTGGCAATTTCTTACCGCCAGCAGCTGAGGGACAGATATTTGATCTTATCACAACCTCTTTGAAGGACTTAACATCACTGTTTTTCCCCTGCCAGCAAAGAAGAGAGCTAACCAGTGCATGGAATAGCTTAACTCCTTCCTTGAGGATGGTAGTCAAGAACTTTAATGTTGCTCAATACCTTTCAAAGCTATACAGCATGACTGAATAATACAATAATTCTTCATTGATGGGGCTGTGACTGTGATATCCATATTGTCAACCGTAAGACAAAGGTTGATGTTACTTCACTTCAGATGTCCACCTTCAGCTGCTCACATGAATGGGGTGGGGGCAGCTGCATGTTCCCTTGCTGATACAAGCTGCTGTTCATATAGCTGTTGCTCCTGGAGGCTAATCTAGATGGCAGTCCTAAACCCTGAAGCACTGCAGCAGATCTGGGCATGCTACATTAGCTGATAAAATATGCTTAGACACTGCAATTGAATTTTTAAGAAGTCCCTGGCTTTATTATAGCCAGCATGTTGACAACCTACCATTTAAACAAACATTCAAGGGGACTTATTCTCTGCTTCAATTTATCAGATGTTAGAGCTAAAGGACTTGCAGCTGTAACCAGAATCTGTTTTGGTTGAAGCTGTTGAACCAGCTTTAGACAGCAGCTTCTGTCAAGGAGGTGCAGAGAGAGCATGTCTCTCATTTCAGTTTATTCTACTACTCCAACAACCCAGAGAGAAAGGCAGTACCTCTCCAAGAATAAACAAGGCGCCAAAAGTTGATGTGACCACCTCTAAGAGCTCCCAAAACACAAATCAAGCAATAGCATTCCCCAATCAACATCCCTAACACTTTCCTTATTAAAGTCACCTTAACCACAAGTTTTCCATGAAGTATTTGTGCTCTAGCTTAACTAGAAGCCTGTGTACCTTGCCTCAAGTTCCTGCTGTTAAGCTACACTTCTAGTGGAACACAATTCCCACTGCCACAAAGTTGAAAAAAGTTACATCCTGTAACTGCATCTTCCTAATCCCACTATCCTAACCTTACTAAACTGAAAACACAAAACAAGATGAAGCTAAATATTCCACCAAGTTAATAAATACAGAAAATGAAACACATGCAAGGTGAGCACTAGTTCAGATGAGCACATACAATTAATATATTGCAGGAGTCACCCATCAAATAATGTTAGGGTATTAATTTTATCTCCAAATTATTCCATAAGCAGAGTCTAACACACGTGAAGACCTAAGACAAAGAGAGCCGAGAATATCACTTCTCACAGGACTCTTTCTTCTGTGTCTCAGAAGTCAAGATGCATAACCAAAGACCAGATACTACAAAAATCCTCCATGCAGGGCTCCTCATGGAGGAAAGATGAGAGAGAAACAACACACAAGAGATTTCAGCCATGGCACTGGCAGGGAATCCCACTGCTGGGGATGGGTGGAAGCATCATGAGACCTCATCTTCCCACACTCAAAACTACCATCACAGGGCTGGTCAAAAGAATTTAGAAGAAAGTCACGGCAGTTCAAGGACATCAAGTACCCAAAAACCCAATCATAGTGCTGAGGTAAGGCAACTGAGAGCCTTGCCTAAATCTATGCTTGTTCACACACATCCCAAATTACTTCTCAGGCAGCTTCAGCTTCTTTCCAGGAACAACTGCAAATATGCAGTCCAGAGAGCTCCCCAACCAAACAAAACTATTTCGATCAGTCATGATTTCTTTGACAAAAAATGGATGAGTAATCTAAGTGCAGGAAGAGGTCACCAGACCATTCGGATGTAAAGATGACACTGTTACCAACTAAAGGCTCCAGCGACTTCCTGAATAAGTAATAATGGAGGTGAGTCAAAGAATACACCTATCACACCTACGTGAGTAAGCCAGCCAACTCATTACAAAAGGCAAGTCTTTTGCCAAAGCCTTCCTTTACTTCCAAACAATGAGGCCAAACTGAACATGACTCAAATCTTTTATTCCCCAAGCTACAGGTTATTTTGGTTTTGTGGAACAAAGCTCTTAAACCTTGACCAGACCAAGAGGCACTGAAGGTGCATGTTAGTCAAGCAAAGACATCATCCAATTTTTTTTTTTTTCAGTCTGAGAGAAGCCAAAGGGCATGAAATGGGAGATGCAAGAGCCACAACTAAAACAGTTAACTGCTAGGAGAAGCAAGCTCATGGGAACAATATTTTGCCAGAGATCAAGCAGACATCAAACACATAGGAGTGTGCCTGTGCCACACATCTTCTGCAGGAACAAAGGTTTTCCAATTGCCTGTTTTAAGAAAAAAGTGCAACTCCCCCTCCTCCAGTTGTTTTGATAATTTAAGTACACTCCCTTCAGTTCTTTTCTGAGACGGCTGTGCCAGATTTCTTATTTGCTGTATTCACAAGAGTGGAAATAGCAACCACAAAAGTTTTTTTGTATTAACAGGAAGGCTGAGAAAGGAATTGAATCTACCTTCACCCATTATGTGTTGCTGCAGCCCTTTGAAGGCTGCCTTCTTGAAGTGTGGAGAGGAAGAACACAGGAGTAGAAAAAAAATTGTGCCAAACAGCCCTGAAGCCCACGGAGTCCTGAGGAAAACACTGCCTTTACCCTGAATTAGCCATCAATGAGTGAAGCTATCAACGGATGGCTTGGAAGCCTCTTGCTTTGAAATAAATATCCCAGAATCATAAAACGTTTGGGTTGGAGGGGACCTTGAAGATTATCTAGTTCCAACCCCTCTGCCATGGGCAAGGGCAGCCTCCACTATTCCAGGTTGCTCAGAGCCCCATCCAACCTGGCCTTGAGCACTTCCAGGGATGGGGAATCCACAACTTCTGTGGGCAAGCTGTGCCAGTGCCTCAACACCCTCACAATGAACAATTTCGCCATAATATCTAAGCTAAACATACTCTCTTTGAGTTTGAAACCATTCCCCCTTGTTCTGTCCCTAAGCGCTCTTGTAAATAGTCTTGCCCCATCTTTCCTCTAAGTTCCCATCAGGTACTAAACGGATGTGGAAATACGGGACTAGATGATCTCCAGAGGTCCCTCCCAACCGTAACAATTCCGTGAAATACACACACAGAGCAGAGCCCAGGGGGCAACCCGGGGCGGAAGGGGAGAACTCTCACGCCGGGCCGAGGTTCCCCGGGAGGCTCTCTGGGGCTAAGGGAGCAGAGCGGCGGCCGTGGCGCGGCTCCCCCTCTGCCCAGGCCGTGCCCGTGCCCCCTCCCGCAGGCCCGGCCCCGGCCCAGCCCCACACCGCGGCCCGCGCCGCGGGGGAAAGGCCCGTACCTTGAAGTACCCGCCCTCGTAGAGCGTGTTGGGGGGCCCGAAGATCGCCACCTCCCAGTTGTAGAGGTCGGACTCGTCGACCAGGGTGATGCGGAAGCCCTCGACCGGCTCCTCCTGCAGCGACTTCAGCTCCAGCATCAGCGCCTTCTGCGAGCTGCTCATCTGCTGCTGGGCCATGGCGCGGCGCGGCCCCCGCCGCGGCCGCCTCCTCGCTCCCGGTGCCGCTCCCGGTGGTCCCGGTGCCGGTGGTGCCGGTGCCGCCCCCGCCCCTCCCCGCGCTGACGGCCCCGCCGCCGCCACTTCCTTTTGTGACGGCGCCGCTCGCGCTGACCTCAGCGCGCCGCGCCGGCCCCGCCCCCGCCGCTCCGTTAGCCGCGCCCCCGGGCCACGCCCCCGCCGCACGCCCGGCCGTGCCCCGGCGCACAGACAGACCACGCCCCGCCTCGCCCCGGGCCACGCCCCGCCGCACGCGCTGCCGCGCGCCACGCCCCCCGCCGCGTGCCCTTAAAGGGACTACGCTCGCCGGCGCTGCGGCCGACCGGGAGGAGGAGTCGGGGGGTGAAGTGGGGAGACGCAGTGTTATGGTGTCGTGGGGGGGGGGGGGGGGGGGGGTTACAAAATCACAGCATCGAGTCCTTTGGAAAAGATCTGTGACAGCACCATAGTCCAACCTATGACCCAACACCACCACTGAGTGCCACGTCCAGTCTTTCTTTAAACAACTCCAGAGACAATGTCCCCATCACCTCCCTCGGCAGCCCATTCCAATGCATGATGACCCTTTCTGTAAAGAAATTCTTCCTAATGTCCACCTTGTGCCTTCCCTGACACAGCTTGAGACCTTAAGCCATTAGTGGGTGTCCACAGGAGGGCCTCAAGGATGATGAAGGTTCCAGAGGCTGGCTCCTCCGTGTGAGGAGCAGCCTCGGGCACTTGGCCTGTTCAGCCTGGAGGAGACTGAGGGGAGGCCTCACTGCAGCTCCTCGGGAGAGGCAGAGGACAGGCAGGAACTGATCTCTGTTACAGGACCTGAGGGGATGGCATCAAGCTGTGTCAGGGGAGGTTTAGTTTGGATATCAGGAAAAAGTTTTTCAGCAGAAGGTAGTTGGGCAGTGGAATAGGCTCCCCAAGGACACAGTTCAAGAAGCATTTGGACCATGTTCTTAGGCACAGAGTGTGACTCTTGGGGTGCCCTGTGTATGGCCAGGAGTTGGACTCCATGATGCTGGTGGTTCCCTGCCAACTCATCTTAAACTGTGTTTCTGTGATTCTATATGCCCTCCTCCTGTCACTGGCTGCCTGGGAAAAGAGACTGACTTGCAGCTGCACCCTCCTGTCAGGGAGTTGTGATAAAGACCTCCTGGGTTTCCTTTTCTCCAGGCTAAACCAGCTCCCTCAGCTGCTCCTCACAGGACATGGATCCCAGACCTTTCACCGGTTCCATTGCCCTTCTCTGAAATTGTTCCAGCACGTCAATCTCCTTCCTGGATTGTGGGGCCCAGAACCGGACACAGCACTTGAGGTGCCTCACCAGTGCCAAGTACAGGGCAAGGAGCATTTCCATAATCCTGCTGCTTTTATTATTATTGATCCAAGCCAGGATACCACTGGCCTTCTTATCCACTGGGCAAACTGCTGTTGTCTCATGTTTGGCTCCTACCAAACAGTCCCAGGTCCTTTCCCACTGGGCAGCTTTCCAGCCATTCTACCCCAAACCTGGAGCTGCAGGAGCTGTTGTGACCCAGGGACAGGACCTGGCACTTGGCCTTATTGAACCTCACACAATTGGTCTATCCATCCAGCCTGTCTAGATAGTCACAGGTCATGAGTGGGTACAACAGCGCATGGTTCGCCCACTGACACGCACCCATGGTCACAAAACAGATGTTTTTGTACAGAGCATGGTTTTTGAAGAGTGAACTCGCATGACTCAGAGCCCCATAGAAATCCTGCAGCAGCTCCCAAGCTGCAGTAGGACACAAATAGACAGCTGCCATCCCTCACCCCAACATGTTGTTCTCACATTCTCCACAGATGTGTGATATAGTCACACCAAAACACACCATTTCCAGCCTTCCTGCCATTCCCTGGCTTGGCTAAGGGTGAAAAATGCTTGCAGAAGTGTAGAGATCTATCAACCAGTAAACATGAGCCAGCACCTGTTTCTTAGTGAGTATTTAATGAATAGCATAAATAATATTCATTAAAAAAATAAAGAAAGAAAAATAACAGTAATTGTCCAGGAAGAGGATGACCCATTTCTGCTTGGCATTTCTTTCATCCTTCTGCTCATGGCAGGGCTCAGGCCACCTCACAGGGGCATCTGCTCCTTGGACAAACAGATTGGATGATGTGTCCCATCATCCCTACGTCATTACATGGCTTTAACCTTCTTTGCCCCCATCACCTCCCAGGCTTTCCCATGCCGATGACAACTCTGTAGACATGGGTGACCACTGAATCAATCTCCTGTACTTTCCATCAATCTCATGGACTTTCCCAAAGGCACAGGACTGACAGCCAGGGCCCTGTGTGCTGGTGGGAGATCGTGCAGCTGGGCAGCCTGCACTGCAGGGGGACCTTGAAGCGTCTCCCTGACACTTGACAGCCTTGGCTCTGGCTCCTTCTGCAGACCTTGGCCCAGGGAGGAGAGCAGGAAGCAGACGGTTTTCCCCAAGCTCCAGCTGCTCCCAGGACAAATTTGCTGTTTTCCAGTGAAGCATCCTTCCCCTTGTCCCTGAGGCTGTTCTGCTTGTCCTTCTCCTGCCTCTTGAGCTTTCCCCAGAGTCGCCCCCGTTACCCTCTCCAGAGATACCCCAGCACTGTCGGTGGTACGTGGACCAGGGCTTCTGATTGCCTCCAAGCTATAAAATACTCCAGCCCTTGCAAAATCCCATCTCACCCTGGACAGTGTCCCTGTGGGGACTGGCATCAATCTTCTCATGGAGCTGGGATGAGTTCTTGCTCAGGGCCACTGGGGTAATATGGAGCAACATCCCTTGTTCATCAGGAGCTTGACTGATTGCTGAAATAAAGTGTGTGCTCCCCTACAGGGACAAGTCAGCCACTGGAACAGGTCAGTGGCTGTGGCTCACTCTTCACCACCTTGGACTGAGCTCAGATTTACTGAAAGCTGCTTAATTCAGCTCTCACTTCCTCAGCAGGAGGCTGGAGGGCTGGATCATGAAACACTGGTTTTCAGAGGAACTCCTTGCAGGCTGGGCAGGCTGTATGTGTTTTCTGGTGGAAGTTTGATCCCATGTTCTTTTTATTTATGTCAGTGGAATAGAATAGAAAATAATTGACTGTTTCTGTTGGAAGGGACTACAGCAACCATCCAATTCAACTGCCTGACCAATTCAAGGCTGACCAAAAGTTCAAGAATGTTGTTCAGGGCATTATCCAAATGTCCCTTAAACGCTGAAAGGCTGGGGGCATTAGCCACCTCACTAGGATGCCTATTCTGTCCACCCACTCGGCAAAAAAATGTTTCCTGATGCCAAGTCTAAACCTCTCCTGGCACTCTTTGAACCATTCCCACATGTCCTATCACTGGATACTGAGAAGAGCTGAGTACTTCCCTCTCCACTTCCCCTCCTCAGGAATCTGTAGAGAGCATTACCTCAAACCCCCTTTCTCCAGACTAGACAAGCCCAAAGTCCTCAGCTCCTCCTCAAAAGACATTCATCCAGCCTTTTCACCACCGTTGTTGCAACTGTTGTTGTACTCCTCAGGACATATTAATGGATCTTCACATGCTTCTTAAGTTGTCCTTAGTTGATGGACATAACTCATTCTGTGATTTCTGTGCTCATCCAGCCAGCAAAGACCTGCTCTGTTAATAGGGCATCCCAGTTTGCTGGTAAAACATGGATTTGCTCATGCTTGGAGTAAAATGTACAGGAGCCAAGCTCATTTGGTACTGTACTGCCCTCAAAGCATCTTTTTTTGCAGCCAGCCTCCAGCACAGGCTTTGTCTCAACCTGTCTCATTCTGGAAGAGATGGAAGAAGCAAAGTTTGGAGTTATTCAGGATTTATCTCTGCCTGATGCCTGCCTTGAATGTTAATGTAAGATGTAATCATGCAAGGCAAAAAGTAAAGCAAGCCCTGGTGTATTCAAGAGAGCAGACTGCAAATTTTCCATTGTGTCTGCTTTCAGAAAAGATATTGGTCTTTTTCCCTCTGATTTTTTTATTCTCTTTCCTGCAAAGCATTCAACACTCAAAGAAAATAGAAACTGTTGAAGCAACAGAGCATTTTGAAGCCTGTGCTGCCTGGCAGCCCCCTCCAAGGCTCCTGCCTGCATTTCTGCCTGTGCTTTCAGGGAGGCTCAGCTGCTCTGCCTGGTGTCCCGTTCCCCTGAACCCTGGCTGCCCTGAGGCTAGCATAACTTTTTTGATTTTTCATATGGCATTTCTCCCCTCCAATCACCTCTGATATATCATAATGAAAGGATGAAGCTTTCTTCTTCTCCTCCTCCTTCAGCTGCTCTCCCATGGGTGGTCACAACTCTCTTGCAAGCAGCGCTTTACATGGGGTGTGCTCTGCCACAGTGTTGTTCCTTCTTATATTTTCTTTTATTTTTTCCTGAATTAATCAGTTTGTTCCTAGGGCTCACAGAACAAGAAATAGGGTCTAATGTGGGAACATGGGTCTCCAGAAAAGACAAGTCTCACTGGGAGAGGAAGAGGCTACACATACCGTTATCCAGTCCCCAGCAGCAGAACTTGTCACTGTAAACTGGACCTCAAGGTGCCACCAGTGCAATTAGTTAAATCTGACTTGAAAACTTCTAGGTCCTTTGCTTTGTTATTATCAGCTGGTTTTAATATCTCTCTTCCTCATTTATTTCTTTCTTCCTGTGAGCTGTGTTCACAAAGGATGACAAACTGAGAGTTAACTCCTCTGCTTAGCAACAGCAGAAGCTTTGAAAATGCAAACCTGTCTTGGTGTCACATTAGAGGGTTACTGCTCCATGAGCTGTCAGAGAGGACAAGAGGTGGGAAGATGTGGGAGTGCCTGTGTGACTCCATTCTCAGGACAGATTCCTCTCATGTGATACTTTTCACTGCTTTATCTAATTTCTTTCCTGAGTGGCTCAAAGGATGAGATATCTGTTCCTTCTGCAGGAGAACTGGATTCCCCTGGGATAAAATCCAATACCATCAACCCCTTTTCCTCTCCTCCTGCCTCTTCCCTACTCCTGTGCTTTGGTGAAACACCAGCAGGGATCCTGGGGACTCTTGACTGGACT